ACATTTGATTTGATATTTAACAACTCTTTCAGAGTTTATGCTTACCACGCAGCTCTTTAAATTAAGCTGTCGCAAATTATCTTCATGATTGAAGTGCTGTTAAGTAATATTAAGTTAGTGCTCCTTTGTACCACAGTGAAAGTCGTGGAGAGAATTTTTGACCTTGGGTGAAAAAGACACAGAAGCTGCTGGATCCACAAGATGGACATCATGGCCGAGGTGTTTGACATGCAATGACTGAAAACCTCCAGCAAGCTTACAGAACACCACAGCTTTATAACTTTAATCCCAGATTCCTTGTTTCATTGAATTGTGAGTGCTCCTCGGATGATTAGCGAAACGTCTTCAGTTTTAAAAAAAGTCCTGAGGTTTTGTTTTTATCTGTTTTGGGGGGGATTTGCCGTGTCAAGGATAACTGAGAATCTTCACCAGCATTGTTACAGGTAAAAAACAATTACTTCACTTATCCTACACTATTGACGTAAAAAAACACTGTAAGCACTTCACTTTTGATGATCAGATGGAAGCTCAAGACTTGAAAATGTTTCTTTTATTAGAAATAAAGACCTGTACAAAAAAAAAACAATTATACACTAATTATATATGCAACATGCATATTTATGCATGTTGCATTTGTGGGCTTACCTTGCAGGATCTACATTTCTATAGATCAACTATGATCTACTCTAAATATTTTTAAACATGTCTGTTTGCCATGGAACGGGCAATGGATTCCAGCACCCCAAGGAGTGCCTGACTGAAAGCAGCACTCTGTTCAGCCTCCTGCCTTCGCTGTGCTGCTTCCTCTCTGCGAACATCTGCTTCCTCTCTCCTCAAGGCCATCTCCTCCCTCCTAATGGCTTTCTCCTGCTTCCTCGCTGCTGCAGCTTCTTCTTGCCTTGCTTTTTTGGCATCCTCACAAATAAAATGGAAGTGTTCCTCTCTCTGCTTCCAGTTCATCACCTCTTGTTCTGTATGTACAGAAACAAAGCTCTCTGCTGCACTTGTTGATCTGCGCTTTCTATTGCCTAGGAATAACACACAAGAAAATGGCTGTTAGATGATGAAGTACAGGTAGAGTTTTTAAATAAATTATTTACATTAAAGTTCCTGCTAATTTCAAAAGGTGTTTGTTTACAAGATCAGAAATGATTCTGTTCATAAAGCAGTCTAGTACTTTAATGATAGTAAGCAGGTGGGCATAAATAAACTATATGTAGTCATTTACAACGGTTTGTGCTAATTTAGAAAAAGAACAGAGCATCGTTAATCTGAACAAAAATCACTACACCCTGTATAATTTCAATAATAAACTTCATAAATGAAAGTTTAAGTAATAAATGAATAACTAAATTTAACATTTATCCATTACAACTGAATAAACAAGTAGTTTGAATACATGCAAGGTGTTTTACAACAAAAACAAAACAACATTCATATCAACATGATCAATGTGATGTTAAACACAATTGTTGCTTCTTACCTAGTAACGGGTGCTGTTTGGTGCCGCTCTGCTGCGTGTTGCCCGGTGGCGTGGATGTGCCCGGTGGCATGGATGTACTTGGAGCTGGTGTGGTCGGGAAGGGTCAGAAGCGGGAGGATTGGACAGTCAAAAGCTGAATCTGGCGAACCTTCATGTTCAGTGGGACTTTCTGCATCAAAATAAGAGTGGAAAAACAGCAACAGAGTACAGTTAGCAATGATGCTAACTAATGACGACGTAACCGCGTCAGCCTCGTTTGTTCAGAGTACTTTCAGAAAATGCAAAGAAACGGTTGCATGAGGGAAAGGAAATATGCTTAAAGTAAATAAAATACACTCACCATCAGCTATTAGTTTTTTAAGCTTTCCTCTTTGCTTTGGTGTGCGATGGAAGCCCTGCACCGCCATCTGCGCAGACACCTCTTGAAAAATCTTTTTATTTCGTTTCGTTCCATCTAGCTCGCGCTGCACTTGTTCATCGGCCAGCAAACAGAGAAATGCCTGAGCTTCAGCATTCGACCACGGTTGTGCCATGATTATTTGTTTTACCTTGTAAAATATTCCAAAATAAGCTCCTCCGATTTCTTGTTGTCTGTTATGCGGGTGAAAAAGAAAATGGTGGATTGTGATTTCCGGTGGAAGACTGAATCTCCGCCCTCCACCAATGAATACGCCCCCTGACCAATCAGTGACCTACAGTGCGCTGATGTCACAACTAGACCCTAAAAGAACCAGACCTGGGACCTCAGTGATTTAGGTCCCAAAAATGGGGTGGGTTCCACCACTAGAGGCATTGTTGATAAATCCTGCAATCGGCCACAACTAGTTACATAGGAGTACCAAAAAGACCCGTGGATAAGGGGCTTAATTATCTTTCTGATCGGAGGCAATGTGTTCAGCATAATGGTACTTCCTCCAGTTATTTAACAGTCAACAAAGGTGTACCACAAGGCTCAGTCTTAGGACACACCCTCTTTACAATAAACATAGGTAATGTAGGCCAAAGCATCCCTGATGCATCTCTACATTTCTATGCTGATGACACAGTTGTTTATTGTTGAGCTAAAACAGTTGCTAAGGCTTTCCAGCGTTCCTGCCTGTCTGCCTGCACCAATGGGTCTCCAGCCTAGAAATCATCACAGAATGACCAGACCAAACCAAGATCCAGCAGGCAGCCCAACTCTCACTGCTCCTTCCCTGGAAAACAAGCTGTGTGGTAATTTCAGAGACTCTGAGCCTTCAGCTACACCCCTGGCGCTTCCTCGGTTCCCAGTCCTGACTCCTGAGGTCCTCACAGCTACAGCCCCTGTGGTCGCTCCCATGTCTACTGCAGTCCCCATAGTTTTTCCATCTCCTGCAGCCTCTGCATTATCAACACAGTGTGAGGACCCAACCTGTCCTGAGCCCACAGACCCAGACTTGCCTACTCCAAATACTGTCCCAGAAGATCCAACACCCGAGGTGGATCCCATGCTGCACGCAGCCCCCGTGATGGATCCCACGCTTCACGCAGCCCCCGAGGTGGATCCCACACCGCTGCTGGCCTGCCTGCTGAGTTCCTCACTGCTGACCCTCCTGCTGAGTTCCTCGCTCCTGGCTCATCTGACTTGTTCCTGCCTGATGTTCGGCTTGTTGGACGACCTCCCGACCGCCTGCCTGACTGGCCCCGGCCTGGTGAATGGTCTCCCGGCCGCCCATCTGACCTGTTTCTGCTTTTTGGACAACCTCACTGTTCCCCACCTGAACTCTGACCTCCTTGTGTGTCCATGTGTTGTGCCTTGTCCCTGGTGTACCTGTCCAGTTCTTTGTTCCCCTCATGTCTCTTTTTTTTCTCCTAGCGCCCTCCTCCCTGTTGGCTCCCCCCCTCCTCCCACCCACGTTTTGGGGGTGTAGGGGTCTTGGAGATGTCAAGGAAGTCCTTGGGGGGGGGGGGGGTTACTGTAAGAGTTGTGCTTTCCCTGGTCTCTGTCTCCCTCTAGTGTTCTATATTTGTCTGCTTCCCCTCTGATGTCTGCACCTGTGATGTTTCACAGGTGTTCTGTGTTAGTCTCGTTAGTGTGTGTGTATTTAAGTCTGTTTGCCTGCGTCCCTCATTGTCTGGTCATTGTGTCACTGTCCTGCTCCTCGTGTCCTGCATCCTGTCCCATGGTTTATGTAAGTCTGCTGCATCATCAGCCATATTTATTTTGTAAATAATAAATTATTTATTTATTTATATTCACTGAGTCCTGCCTGTCTGCCTGCACCAATGGGTCTCCAGCCTAGAAATCATCACAAACTGAAAGTTAAACTGGGTTTATTTTTCAGAAATCGATCCTGATTAACTCTGAATGCTAGGAAACACCTTGTATCTGTGACTTTCTTTCCCTCCATTGACTACGGGGACATTATTTACATGAACGCCTCTACAAGCACCTTGCAGATGTTGGACACTGCTTATCATGGTGCACTAAGATTCATAACTGGCTGTAACTACCGTACCCACCACTGCACCCTGTATTCACTGGTTAACTGGACATCATTAACTTCATGCAGACTCTCCCACTGGTACATTTTCATCTTTAAATCACTTCTTGGTCTGTTGCCTTCATACATCTCCTCCTACATGTCTCTGCGTGAGTGCAGCTACAGCGTGAGCTCTCAGGACATTATTACCTGCAGTGTCCCCTCAGTGCGGACTGAACTAGGCAAAAGGGCATTCTCCTACTCCGCTCCTTTTTCCTGGAATATCTTGCAAAAAGATCTGAAGCTCTCGACCTTGACCTCTCTAAGTGGATTTAAACATCTGTCAAGTTCCTGGCAAGAACCAATGCAGACATGTTCCTGTTTTTAGTTTTCTACACCGCATTACAATCTAGCTGTTTTTTCACAAATTTTCCTTTTGATTGTCCTTTTGGTTGCCATTTTATTTTAACTTCTTACAAAAAAAAAAAAAAATTGGTACGCACCTTTTATGATTGTCTATTCTTGTCATTGTTGTCCACTGTTGTCATCACTCTTTGTAAAAAAAATAAAAAAATTCAGGTCTCTCTTGTAAATGAGTCCCCGAAGCTCAATGGGATTAACTTGTATAAATAAAGGTTGAATGAATGAAAAAAATTCTGTGTTAAGAAAGGCGGAAATAGAAGTTATGAGACGCCACTAATGTCAAACCAGCTAACACAATCTGCCTGTCGTTATTATATCTACTTGCTTAATAAGTCTTCTGATATCTTGGTCCAGTCAGGTGTAGTTCTTTAGTAACGCCTTTTTTCCTCGTGCAATCAGGTGTGCTCTTGATATACACCTTCCTTTGGGAACGCTTATTTCATCTTTAGGAACGCCCATTTCTTCTTTGGGAAGCCTATTTCATCTGTAAACATACCTACTTGATCCACCTTATTCCTAGGCCCCATGCTGCCTTGTGTGAATTATGGGCACAACTTACCAGAACCAGCGTTTGTGCGAACAGTACAAGCTAATGTAGTTTCTCCAAGCATTGTGGATTTAGTTTAAACATGTAGGAACAACACCTGTCAGATCTCAAACAGGAGTTCCATCATACCTCTCAGGAAGGAGATGGGTTGTAGGAAGATGGAGAAAGCTTGAACCATCCTAACTGTTAAGTAAGGGGGTGGCAGAATTTTGCTGTTGGGTGTTTTGCTGCAGGACAGACTGGTGCCCGCTACAAACATAGTAAATAAATCCAACTCATTAAGTTGTTGTATGAATACTATGATCATGAAAATTGTAATTTGGACATGACGCAATTAAAAGAAATTTATCCAATTGTTAAAACTATCTTGATTATTATGATTTTTTTTATTCTACTTTGGCCAAACTTAAATACTTAATGCAAACGTGTGCGAATCCCGAAGTAAAAAAAAAAAGTATATACATATTCCCGCTGCTCCCTTCTTCAAGGGTTGCCACATCAAATTAACTTGCATGAAGACTTACGTCGGATGCCCTTCCTGACGCAACCACAAACCACAGAGTTACCACAGCCCTCTGTGTGGAGCAGAGAGCTGCTGTCTAGGGGGCCCGAGGGAGCAGATGGTGGGGGTTAAGTGCCTTGCTCAAGGGCCCAGAGTGGGGCAAATGAGAGTGGAGACAATGCTTCACCTTTCACACCCCCTGATTTTGATTATGTCGGTACGGGGAGTTGAACCGGGTACCATCGCAGTCCCGCCTTCTCTCACCTCTGTTCCACCACTCCTCATATATATGTAGTGAACTTAACCTGATGTCAAGACTAAGCCTAAGGTCAAAACCCTTGACCTTAAGAACCTTGTGGGACAGGAACTGTCATTTCATTGATTTGAATCCAGAAATACAGGTTCACCCATCCTGAGACTCTCTTTCTTGAAAATCAAGTGGAAGAACACTCTCTTTTTATTATCATTACTATTTTACAAATGTTGATAATCAATGTGTCTTAGTTCAAACCATTTTAGATGTTGCAGTGAACTAATCGATTTTATTAACTGTAGAACAGTAATAATGATTTTTAATGCTTATGCAGAGTTAGAATTCATGTTAAGGTCTGTTACAGATTTTTATGCATTTTCTGATTTCTGTCTTTGAATGAGCAAGTGTGCGTTTTCCAAGGTCAGGAGTTGAAGCAGACATGTGTTGGAACAACTGTCTTGTTTACATCCTCTCAGACGTAGAGTTGGCACCTGTTTCTAAAACTCGCCAAAACAAACTCTCTCTGTCTCTGAGAACAGTTTAATCTGTTCCATAACAATTCTTGCTCTTTTCTGACTTCTAGTAACCTCTGACATCACAAAACACACCCCTGTCTGGTTGATATTACCCAATAAGGGACGCTCAAATATACCGGAAATAGAGCTCTTTAAAATGCCGGTACTTCCTAGTTCTCTCAGTTCGGTTCTGCGCTGAGAAGTCGTTTGGGAGAACAGAAGTCCAGCATGATAAGGCTCCTCCGAGTTGGATTATAATATCCTCCACCTCTGAGTGGAACTTCTGAAGTACCCCACTCATGTGAAGTCCACTTGCTGATGTGAGCTGGTGTCGGACGGAATCTCGTCACTACTTCGGACGAGTCACAGCCATCCTATGGAGACGCTGGACAGGTAGCGTTAACTGGACCTCCATATCTGCTGATTAATCTTCAGAAAGGTAATGAGTCAAGTTTCCTACCAAGCGTACCGAGGGAAGCTGGGTTCTGATGGAGAGTGTCGGTTCTGGTGAACACTTCCCCTCACATACCATCTTTTACTCCCTTTAAACTTCATCTTTCCATCTTTAAATTCTTCTCTCAAGTAGAAATCCTTCCAGATATTTTAGAAATGTCTGTGTAAAGTGCTCATCCACCGCCGTGTGGATAATTGATCATAATTGTACAGTTTTCATAAATGTCTGTGGTGAAGCAACGGAAAATCATGGCCGTATGGTTTTCCTGATTGATTGATTATGTTGTTATTTTCATATTTTGCCAAATTAATGTAAATGTTTGATGTTAAACTTTGATTCTGTAAATAAATGACCGCATTCATTTTGATGGGTCAAAGATAAATGACGTCTCACGTTTGCATTTCATTAAATTCAATGCACGTTTTATTCAGTCCAGAAAAATAAGGAATCCGTTTTAATTGATGAATATATCTCTGCATCTGTTCATCTACATATTGGTGGCCCGTCACGTGCTCATATATGGACTGTGTATTCGTGTAATAATTGATATTTCATGTTGGCATGAAGAAAGTAGCAGACTGTAGCTGCAACGCTTGAAGTCAAAACACTGCATGTTTACACAGCGTGCTGGAGCTGCGCGCTTGGAGCAAAGACGCTGCATGTTTACGCTGGGATGTTTTGAAGCTGAAATTGTGAGTCATATGTCTTTTAAAGCTGAAATTGTACGCCTGTTATGTGTAATTAAAGCTGGCTTTGAGCTGTGGTAACACTTTATTCTGTTTAAACTGTGTTCCAGACGCTGTTCTGGTCCGGTTCGGTTCTGGTATCGGCTCGGTTCTGAAAAAGTTCGAACGAGTTGTTTAAATAGCTAGAAAGACGTTTTTGAGACCGGGGCGCCGACTCCGTGCAGCTGGGAGCTTATCGTTACATCTTTTAACAGAAAAAAGTGCATTTTGACAGTTTAAAAGACAGAAAAGTTGACGGACTTGTTCAGATAAATCTAACATGCTAGTTGGGTAAACGCTTCGTGATTGGTTGGATTGGCTGCTGTGAAGCGCTCTGATTTGCTGAGAAGTAAATGACGTGCCTACGTGATTTCCTCTCACCCCCGTGCTGCTTTGTGGTTGGCGGATTCAGTCACGTGACCGGAAATGAAAACTCGTTTTTCATAGGGAATAAAATCTGCTTTTTAAAGTTCGAAAAGCGCTTAAAGCTGTGTTCTGAAACGCTGTTTAAGTTCTTCTAAGTCTAATTGCTAAAATTTTGCCACGTTTGAGTAAAAATTCCATTCAGAAATGTTGGTTTTAACCAAGTCTAGCCGATGCTAGTCTTAAAGCTAACAGCTAACGACCGGATGCCACAGGAAGTCATAGCGACCCCTACTGGATAACACTAACAGTGTCTGAGTTAAAATAAATTAAGGTTGTGCTGCCATCTTCTGGAGAGACTTGAGATCACAGGTTTTCACTTCGCTTTTTAGGTATTTTGAGTGAAATTAAACGTTTTTTTATTTCTGTGAGACGAACTTTGAGTTA